TCCTGTGACCTGCACTCCCAGGGGATAGCCAGTTCTATCAAGTCCCAGTTCTTTGCAGCCCCACAGCCTATCCCTGTGTAGGCCGTGGCCCCAGGGAGCTGCTTCACTCTAGGCCGGTTGCCTGCCGGGTGACCACACAGGCCCCCTTCCTTCCTTGTGGGCCTCAGTTTCCCAAGCTGGTGACAGGCAGTGTGATGATGCAGGGTTGGGTCCCCAGGCCCCTCCACAATGTGCTGGTGGTCTGGGACCCCACCTGCATGTGTGGTGGGCTCTGGGTACCACGCAGATCTCTCCAGGGACCAGCAGGGAGATGGGACACTCAAGCCTCTGGAGGCTTCTGTACTCAGGGACGACCTGTCAGGCTGCATAAGTGCAAGTGGGGGGCTGGCATTGGCCTAGGCAGCAGGGCTGGCCTGGGGGCACCCAGGCCCCAACCCTCACCCCCAGGAGTGCCCACTCTGAGCCCCCAAAAGGTCCCCCACCTAAGTTCTGAGAGCTACCTGTGCAGGGCCCTGGCTGGGACCTTCATGGAGCAGGCAGGAACATGAAGTAGAGGCTCAGCTACTGGGGCAGTGGCAGTAATGGAGGTGACAGTGGTGATGACAGTGAAGATGACAGCTTGCACTTTGATATGAACACTGCCTGGGCGCCTCTGGGCCTGGGCAAGTGTGTCCCCTGGAAGGGCAGGAACCTCCCAGGCCAAGGGCAGACCTTGGCTCCAGGAGCCACCTACACCCCTTGCCAGGAGCTGAGGCGTGGAATCCCAGCCAGCACTGGCCACTTCTGGGAGGCCACCACGCTGGGGAGACCCTGCATTCCAGTCCTGCCTATTGCTGAGCAGTCGGGGGTGGATCCTGTTCATCGTCTGGTGCAGGAGAGGGCCCTGAGAAATCGCTGCCCTCCTGGGCATGCCTCCTTGTAGGCAGGGCAAGCTTGGGCATCGGGGCTCAGTCACCAAGTGGGGACCCCAAGGTCCCTAGGGAGTTGCCACCACTTCCCAGCTCCCCCATCTACTGCCATGGGGGAGTGTGGGATGGAGCTGCCATACCTTCACAATTTTCAGTAGAAGCCAAAAATATGGATTTTAAAATGTAAATTCTCCCAATTTTTAAATGTTGGCTCAAATGTTTAAAAAGAAAGAAAGAAAGAAACCTCAAGCGGGCCAAATACAACACGGTGGCAGCCAGATTTAGCCCAGGGAGGCCAGTTTGCAGTCACTGCCTGGCCTGTGCACCATGCTCGCTGGGCAGAGGGAGGTACCTGCCGAGTCCCCAGGACCTGGCCGGGTTGGACGGGGAGCTGAGGCCACTTCTGCAGCCTTGCCCCCTCCATTCCCCCATGGAGGACTGCATGGCCTCTTCTGAGACAACCCTAAGCCAGGGCTTGCGCTCAGGTTCCCACCTCACTGAGTGACCTATGGCACGTGCTGCCCTTTCTAAATAAATCCCTTCAGGATGCCACTCTTGGGCGTGGTAGGAGTCCACAGGGGGGCCCAGTTGGGACAACTGGAGGATACAGAGCCACCAGTCTTTGGGCCTGTAGGCACCTGGGCATGACACAGGTGATCCCTCTGCCCCCCTGCAAGCCCTTTGCAAATACCCCCCACCCCTGCACACCTGCCCCTCCTTCACCCCCACACCACCCACCAGCCCTCCCTCCCTGGTTGGTCACAGTGCTGCCTAGGACCCAGCCCCTCGCAGGGGGGGTCCTAGGGAGGGGCTCCCCATTCTGCTCTCCCCATTCACGTCTCCCCATTCTGCTCTGATCTCCAGACCCAGGCCCACACCCCAACTCCCCATCCTCTCCCTGGCCTGCCTCCTGGCCTTCAGGCCAGGAGCCCACTTTCCACCATGCTTCTTCCTGGCCCCCTCCCCACTGGCTGTGCCACACACTGCCCTCAGGGTGCTACCCGCTGCAGGCAGGGGTGCTCCTCCACCCAGCCCCTAGGGTAGAAGCCCAGATCCCATCAAGAACCCCATGGGCAGTTCTGGGGCTGAACAACATCCCAGCTCTGCCCTCACTCCATGCAGAGCCCCAGGCCCCAGCCTACCCAGGAGACTTTCCCAGGGGACCCACCGGGTGGGAGGACCCGTTTGCAGATTCCTCTGGTGGGCTGTTTCCCCGCATGAGAGCACCACAGCCTGGACTTCAGCCTGGTGAGAGTGGAGGGTCCATGGAGTTTGTTCACAGTCCACTGCCCCACAGTGGAGCTCAGCACACAGCAGATGTTTGTTGAGTGAATGTACGAAGGCAGGGAGCAATTCGAAACATCTAAGAAAGAAGTCCTCCCGGAGTGGGCAGCGCCAAAGCTGGCTATCTAGAGCAGCTGCGGCCTTTTGCTAGCAGTCCCCTGGCCAATCCCTTACACAACCGCCTGTTGCTCCCAAAAGCCCTTGAGGACTCTCCATCCTGCCTTCCTAGATGCCAGATTGAGGCTCAGAGAGGTTGAGCACCTCCACTGAGGTGGCACAACTGCCGAGGAGGCCCAAACAGCAGTCTGTGAGAGGTGGGGCTTGCCCCCCTTCCCACCCTCAGATCTCATCGCTGCTCCCCAAGTGTTCAGGCTGTCTCTTGCGCTCAGGGTTTGGGGCTGGAGCCAAGTGTGGGAGAGACCATCCCTAGGCCCTTCTGGCGGCGAGAGCTGGCCCAGGCCCAGGCTCAGGCAGCAGAGGGGGACCAAGCCAAGCAGACCCTCCGGGTTGTGGCCTGCTTCCTTGCCCTAGTTAGGGCATGGCTCGAGAGGTACAGGTGGTGGGCAGGTGGCAGCCAGATAAAAGCTGACCCACATCAGCAGGGGCCACAGGAACTGGGCAGAGCACTGTGCAGAGGCTGCCTTGGGTCCCTGGGGGCTTGAGGCAGGGCCCCAATGGTAGGGCAGTACGGTGCACCTGGGAGGGGAGCACTCATTCACCTGGCACACCCCAGCTGCATGGAGGCACAGCTGCCCCACGCACGGCCTGTCAGGGCAGCCCTGCATCCAGAGGGGGAAAGGACAGCTCTGCAAGGCTCTAAGGCACAGCGGTTCAGATGGAAGGAAGATGTGCAGAGGCCTGGGGCAGGAAGGAGCTGGGGGACCGTGGGACCTGGAGGATGGCCTGGGTGGCTGGCATTGCTGAGGGGTGTGGCGGAGTAGGGTCTGGTCACTAAGCAAAGGACAGTGGCACGGATCCCTCCTCCACCGCCCAGTGGCCACCTGCTGTGCCAGTCTGAGTGCTCCAGGAGGACGGTGGCTGTGGGATACAGACCAGAGCCCTGGCCCTAACCTCCTGCGCTTGCCAGTGGGCTGCCAGGGCTTGCCCTTGGGGCCTATGTCTTCATACCTGGGAAAGGGGTTATTACAAGATCCACCTCACCAGGAGGATGTGGATAGCTTGGCAGGGCCTGAGGAGGGGCGAACAGCCTGATCCAGTGTGACTGACAAGCAGGGCTCTGGTAAGGCTGCTAGGAGATAAAGGCGGCCAGGAGGAGGGGACAAGGGAGAGTGGGGGTGGGGTGGTGAGGACAGCAGAAGGTTCTTGCAGGATGAGGCAGGGGTGGGGTGGGGTGGGCAGCAGGGAGGGTGTCAGGTGCAGGGCTGGGTGGGGCCTCCGGGAGCACTGGCCTGCCCCCCCATGCCCACCTGTTTGCCCACCTCATCCTCAGCCTCCGGGGAGACCCTAGCCCATCATCAGGATCCTCCCCTCACCCAGCTCCCCACGGCCCCTCCCCTAAGCCTGGATCCCAGCCCCAGACACAGCCACATCACCCAAGTCCTGTGGGAGGAGAGGGCCAAGCCAAGGCTTGACCCAGGTTCCTGGCAGCAATGCCAAGACTGCTGCTGGGAGCCCACTGCTGCGCAGGACCTGGAGGGTCTCACACACACCCCTTCTCCCCACCAGGTGCTGGGGTCTGCAGACCCCAGGCTAGGAAATTTATAGACCTGTCTCAGGAGTGGGGCTGCGCCCGCGATTGCGGAGCCTGCGGTGGGGGTGGGGCGGAGCGGTTCAGCCTGTAAGGAAGAAATGGGGAGCCTGCAGGCCAGTGGCAGAGTTAGTGTGTCTTCTGTCCTGCCCAACCCCCATCCGTGCCTCCCCCAAGTCCCTTCTTGGAGGATGGGGCATCCCAAACAGGCCTTCCAGAACAGCTGAAGCATTCCATGTAAATAATTAATGCTAGATTTTTAAAACACTAAATTTTATTACATTCTTATTAATTTTAGACAAACTCCCAGGCAAGTCATTGGCTGTGAGTGATTGAGGCCACCCGAGCCTGAGAGGGGTGTCCCCACCTCACTCCCCCGCCCTTGGAAAAGGTCTCAGGATGGGGCCCAGGCCCAGCGGTTCTGCAGCTGCGCAGCCTGCTGCCGGTCCCTCTGTCCTGAGCTGATCGGGGTGGGGCTGCCGCTGATCCTTGCCTTTTCCCGGGGTGAACGGTTTTCGGCCCTGCGACCCTGGAGAGAAGCGCTCCCGCATCCCTCGCCCAGCCTTCTCCCGGAGCCATGGGCGGGAGAGGGGCACGCTACGCGCGTGAGCGCTTGCACTTGGGCTTGCTTGATCCCGGGCGGAGTCCGACCCTTCAGCGACCGGTGCCACCCACCCTGCACCAGCTGGTGGAGGCCAACCCTACCGGGTGCTAGGGTCTCCTGCTGAGAGCGCGGGGCTGCTCCCCAGGCGCTGGAGCCCGCCAGGGGCAAAAGCTGCAGGCACCCCGCTTGCGGGCGGTGGATCCAGGCATGCACTGCCCTTGTTTATTGAGCGCCTGTTGTATGCTGGGACTTGTGATGCGCGCCACGATGGGGACCCGGAAAGGTGGGCTTGGCGAACAAGGGCACGGAGACTGCGCTGGCTGGATGCAAACTCCACCCGGCAAACTCTTTATTCGTGGAGAAGGAAGATTTATAGGAAGGGTCCGGGCGCGTGGTCTTGCACAACTTTAAGAGCGTCGGCAGCAAGAGCCGCCACCAAGCGCCTCGGGAGCCGTTCTCGCTCCCAAAATCACTGCCCCACCTTAGCCCCTCCGCAGTCGCGGGTGCTGCAGGGCGGCTGAGCGCGGGTCCGGCGTCCTCCTGCCTCCCCTCCCCCCAGGTTTCAGGTGAGGAAACTGAGGTCCGGAGGCCTGCTCGAGTGGCCGGGAAGTTGGTGACCGAGCCTGATCGAGTCCCCAGGCCAGGCTGCGCCCTCGCCCGGCTGGGTGGTGGGGGAGGCTGCGTGGGGCCCGGACCGAGCGCAGCGCGCTCCCGGCGGACGTGGCGGCGGAACCCGGCGCGAGGGGCCGGGATGGGCAGTCATCAGTCTTCCCAGGTCTGTCGCCACTTTCCGGGGCTGAGACCCTGACCCCTGCCACGGAGAGATGGGGAAGTCCCCACGAGCGGCCTCTCCCGGGTGCTGGAGAGCCCGCCCCGCGCCCCCTGCTCCGCACAGGAAGTGCGATCCTGCGCGGGCCGCTCGCGTCCCGGTGCTCGCCGGCGCCAGCGGGGTTAACGGTGCGGGTGGGTCCCCCGCCCCGTTGGAGGGGTTCGGCGGCGCGGGCTGGGCGGGGAGGGTCTCCAAGCCGGACGCGGGCGGGTCTGCGCAAGCCCGGCAGGGCGCCCCGCCAGCGAGCAGGGCGCGCAGGGGTTAATCCCTCGGGCCCGGGAGGGGCGCGCAGGCCCTCAACCCCCAATCCGAGGGCAGCGGGTCCTGATTGCGGAGTGGAGGGCTTCAGTCGCAGCACCTCTGGCTTTGCGAGCGTCCGCTTCTACAATTCCACACGGCCCCAGGTCCCCGACTCAAACATTCTCCGACTCGGAAAGCCTGCGATGCCCAGCTCGGCTTCCTCCGGGAGGGAGCTCTGGGCCGCGAGGGTTAACGGGCCGCGTGGCTGGGGGCGGCGAGGTCCCGGACCCCCTGAGTTCGCGGGGACAGGCAGTCCCCTCCCCCGGGGAAGCCCCGGCCGCGCTCAACCACAGTCCCTAGGCCGGCCCCCTCCTCGCCCCGGGGGGCGTAACTAGGTGCCCGGGAGCGCGGCGGCCCGGCGGGCTCACCTGTTACTCGACCGCGGCCCGGCGCAGCCACTGAGGAGGGGGAGCCGGCGGCCCGGCGGGCGGGAGGGAGCGGATAGCTCTCGGCCGCTTGTCCACCGGCCGAGCCTCGCGGGGGTGTCCGGCGCCGCCTCCTGCTCTGACCCTCTCCTTTGGTTTCTCGCAGGCCTCTGCCGCAGACATGGAGAAACTCAGGTGAGTGGAGCGACCGCCGCGCCGCGGCTCTCGGGCCGGGGTCCGGGGAGGACGCAGGGGCTCCCCAGAGCGCAGCCTGGGGCCCGGCCGCCTCGGCGGGGCCGTCCGCCCTGTGCCTGGGCTGGTGCGTGCGTGCGAGCGGTGAAACAATGGGGGCCCACGCGGGGCCCCTTGGCCGGGGCCGGCCGCTGCGGTGGGGTGGAGTGCGCCACAGAGCGCGGCCGCCCCCCGCCTCTCCGCGGTCCCCTGCGCCCCGCACCGGACTCCCGCTGGCGTGTCCCCGGGGACCCCGCCGCCCTGCGCACCGGTCCCCCACCCCCCTGCGCACAGTTCTGCGTGTGAGCTTTCAAGTTTCCGCCTGGTGGGGGCGGGGATGGCACCCTCGCGGCCGGCCGAGGCAGTGGCGTTTTGGAGCCATTTTGGGGGAATCCCGCGGCCACGCCTGGGGTGCGCACCCCGAGGCCTCGCGCAGGCGCTAAACTTTCAGCCTCGGTGGATCCGCTGGGGTACCTCCACATCAAGTCGGGAGTCACAGATGGCTTCTAGGGCGACTTTCCCCACCCCCGGGCCCGGGGCCCCAGCCCCTCTCTTTGGCGCGCCCTAGGCGTTTTCTTTCCAGAGCCTCGGCTCGGGGGTCTTTGGGCAGCGGGATACTGCCCGCTGGGCCTCAGCACCACCTGTCCCACACTAGGGTCCCGATTCCCCACTCTCGCCACGCCGGAATAGCGAGGCAGTGGGTGCCAGGTGTTCCTTGCCCCTTAGAAGCCCAGGCTGAGCCCTGGGGGGAGTGACTTGGAAATGCCCAGATGGCGTTCACAGAGCCCCGCGTTGGCCCCCGGATACGGCGCCCCAGACCCCGAGGTCCTAAGGCTCAGGAATAGTATGTTCTGGGCTGGGAGGAGGGATCAGTCTTAGGATCTCATACCCCAAACCTGGTGGCAGTTGGCCAGCCCCACCCTGAGGTATACAAGGTGCAGGTGGTTAAGGAGGGGTCCTGGAGCCCCATGGACCTAGGGGTTGGGGCGGGGGTTGGGATGGATAGGGCTTGCTACTCTGCAGCCGGGTCTTGAGGCAGTCTCCCGTCTGAGCGGTCCCTCTGGCCCTCCCCTCCCCCTGCTCCTTCTCTCCCCTCCTGCCCACCCCATTTGCCAGGTTCTGGGGACAGACACCTGACCCACCGTGTTTAGGGACACAGGTGGCAGTGAGCAGCTGCAGAGGCTCCCTGGATGAAGGACAGACTAGTGGGCATGGTTGCGGCGTGTTGGGGTCTCAGGAGTCAGGACTGAGAGGGCCCCCCCCCCTTGCAGAGGGTCTTGTGCACCCAGTTTCTGCTCCCAGCAGGGCCTCCCTGCTTTTCCTTCCTGGCTGCCACAGGACTCTCCAGCCCGGTTTCTGTCCTGCATTTAAGGCACCAGGACCCCAGCAGGCTTAAGGGAAGTCTGCATGGTCTCCCACCAGAAGACTGTGAGGTGTGCAGTCCCATAAACCCAGAGTCTTGCAAAGGCCTGGACCTCACTGGCCTGTTTCCCCAGCTGCAAAGTGGGTACCCTGGGGAGAGGAGGTGGAGTGACATGAGGCCTGTCATCCCAGCCCTGGCAGTGAGTGGGGTCCAGGTAGAGCATCTCTGAGGGCCCAGCCTACCCCTTCCAGCCTGGAGAAAAGGCACACAGAGGGGCAGGGGTCTGGGTGCCCCAGGGGCCAGCCTATGATGTGTGGTGCACAGTCCCAGAGTGGGTCTTGGCATTGGCCTTGGCCCCTGGGGGAACCGGGCTGGCTCTCAGGAGAGTTGCGTGCCTGGCAGCATGAGCTGTAGGACTGTGCCACCTGGTGGCACAAGGTCTTCCTTGGTGCCCATTAGTGGTCAGGTGTGCAGTGGGGACCTGCACTCTCTGCCACACCCCCACCCCATCCTGTGGGCTGGGTCTGGAGTCCAGGACATCTTTCACCTTCCCACCTCCGTGCCTTTGCTGGGATGTCCTCTCTGCCCAAGACACCTTTCCCAGCCTTCCTGTCCATGTGACATATTCCCTGAGGCCCTTGTGATCCTCCTGTCCCTCCCCGTAGGTGGAATACTGAGACCCCAGGCAACAGTGGGGCGGCTGTCAGCTGTCAGCTGTCAGCTATCCTGGAACAACAGCAACAGGCACTCAGCGGGCCCAGAGCTGTCCCTGCAGGGTCCCCTCCTTCCCCAAAATGCAGTTCCTCCAGTACCAGTGCAGGGGACACCAGCCTACAGCAAATCCTCCCAGCTCAATGGGACAGTATAGTGGGGTCTGCCCAGAATGCTTCACAGTCCCAGAGCAGAGTCTAGCCTAGGGCACTAGAAGCAGAGACACGGGACCCAAGGCACAGAGGTTAAATAGAAGTTTGCTGGAGGCGGGTGGCAGGCTGGCACCTCCTAAGAGGTGCAGAGCATCGGGTTAACCTGAGGGGGGGCCTTACATGACTCCCTAGCCTTGCCTCGGTTCCCCACATAGGCAGCTCTGAAACCAGCTGATGCCCCCTCTTCTGCTTTCCAGTGTCCAGAGGGACAGCTGCACAGTGGCCTCCCTGGGACAGTAACAGTGGGAGATGTGTGGCCACACCCAGTGACAGTCTGGGTACCCCAGTCTCCTGAACGCCCTCATTAGTCCCCTTAGCTCCCCTGCCTCCCTTCAGCTGCTTTGAAACTTCAGGCATCAGGAGCCAGTACTGCTGTCCCTCCAATCAGCGCCCCCCCAGGACTCAACTCCCCCTGCAGGGGAGCAGCAACAGGTCCGCAAGGCACACAGCAAGCCCAGAGCCATCCCTGCAGGGTCCCCTCCTCCCTCCAAGTGCAGTTCCTCCAGTACCCAGCAATGACAGTCGCAGAGAGGTAGGCGTCTGTGCAGTTCAGCCATTAAGTTAGGGCCACCTGGTGGCCACCATGGGACAAGGTTCCTCCGCGCTGCTGCAGACCCCCAAGAGCCCCAGGAGCTTCTCCACACACCAGGCCCGCCTCGGTGTCTCCTTCCCTGGGACTCGCTGCCTCAGAGAGCAGAGAGCATCCCAGAGCAACAGCTGCCTTTGCCTGCCTGGGACTTGGCTGCCTGGGTTGCCTGCCTGGGGTGGGGGCTGCCTGGTCTTTCTTAACCAGAAGCGCCCAGTCCCTGGGATTGGGCAGGTTCACAGGTGAGCACCAGATCTTCCCTCCTGACTGGCAGGCTGTTTATCCTGTGGGTGGGGGTGGGCTCCATGGTGCTCAGGGCTGCTGTGGACTCTGCAGGTGTTTTGGGGGGTGGGGTGCTGCATTCTGGGAACCGGGTAGGAGTGTGGCCAGCTGTGCAAGGGGTGACAGGTGCCCCACGCCTCCTGCCCCGTCTCTCCCACAAGCCGCAGCCTGTCTGTTTCCTGCTCCAAATGGGCCTCAGGAGAACAAGATCTCTTGGTTGCTGTTTTTCTTACAGCCACATAAAGAATTAACCCAGGGCCTTCTCACTGAGGTACATCCCTAGCCCTTTTTATTTTTTTAGTTAGACAGGGTCTCACCAAGTTGCGTTGCCAGGCTGGGTATGAACTATCAATCCTCCTGCCTCAGCCTCCCTAATTGCATCTGTCACCTGTCACAGACTTTTAGGTTCTTTCTGGTTCAAGCCTGTGGTGTCCTGTTTAAGGACTCTGATGTTGTGCAGCTGGTGGCCTTGGGCTGCTTGAACTTCGTTGTGTGCGGATTGAGGCTGTTTATTTTTAGGCTTCAGCACATGGACGCCCACACATTTGGGCCATGCTCTGATTCTCTTGTGTGACCGCCACTGTTGTGGTCCTGCCCCCTCTGAACGCTGTCCTTCTGGAGACACGCAGGGAGACACAGGCAGTGTCCCTGTGCCCCTTCTCCAGGGTCATTGCTAAAGCCCAAGGTTGAGACACAGCTCTAGAGCCCCCTCCCAACTCTACCCCAAGTCCCTGCTGTCTGCCCTGCCCGTCCCCGACCCATCTCCCAGGTATCACTGTGACTTTAATTTGTTCATAGATTGCATATTTAACATATTTATTTATTAGGGATGCTGCTTACCTGAGGACGTTGTAGGCTTGGGGAATAAAACTGTCATGAGAGCCCTATGACTTGGGGGCAGAAACTTATTAAAGGGATGGGTGTCACAGTGACCCGTGCCAATGGTCAGAAAGTGTGGGCATTGGGGGTGGCGTGGCCTAGCCCCAGCGGGGAGAGGCAGCAGTGCCCAGTGCTCCAGGCAGGGGCCAAAGGTGAGCCGTGGGCGAGGGAGCGAGGCAGGGCGCCTCCTGGACCCAGGTGCAGGGTGGGCACAGGCTCGGGCATGCCCTTTTTTAGCAGGCTCTTGCTACACCCTGTTCTGGCATGCTGGGGTGGTCACTGAGACTGGGGTGGCCACCTGCAGAAGAGGTGGTGGGGTAACCCCACCTTCCTCCTTGCCCACTTCTACACCTAAGCCTACTAGAGGGAGCCTAGCAGTGTTCTCACTAAGATGCCAGTGACGACCTCGCTGCAGCTACCCCTGTGGGACCCACCACAGGAGTGGTCCCCTCCTCCCCCCCTCCACCTGTTCCCAGCTGAGGTCCTACTCAGCCTCCCTGAGTGTGCCATGAGAGGCACCCTGGGGACATTGTGCCAGTGGTAAAGCATCTGGGGTCACTCCTGATGCGGCACCTGCTGCAGCCTTCGTGGTCGGTGAGGCTGGAGGTTGGGCACAGAGCAATCCTACTGTCCGTGACACCTCACCCTCGTGACATTAACAGAGCCCTCAGCCTGGCTTCCAGGCATAGTGGTCACAAGTGTACCTCAGGTCTTCCTGACAGCTGAGGAAACTGAGGCCCAGAAAGTGAAGGCCCCAGGTTCAATCTCCATTACTGAAAAAAAAATTTTTTTAAACCTGAGAGGTTTGGAGCCCCTGAGCGTTTGGTGTGTGCATGCACACGCATTTTAAGTGTGTATACACAAGGGGCAGGGTGGTGGTGCAGTGGGCCAGCGGAGGACGTGGCATTCCAGAGCAACCCTGGACAAGGGG